AAGTTTGTATCAGAAACCATGTTATTGTGTTTGTTTTCCCATGATCTTCTTGTATGGGTATCCAAGTCCATGTTTTCAAACTCAAAGCATAAAATCCCAGACCTTGTAATAACAAGTTTTGATCTTTGCATTCATCATGTTCATGTTCTTCATGTTCTTGAGCAGAGGGAAACCCAGATTTTCCCGACTTCATTTCCTTGACTGTGGCCACCAGGACCACACCTCGGCAAGAAGGTGTGGGACCTCGACCTAGACCTGGTTGGTGCCCAGCATGTTTTCCCGAGATGAGAAACAGTGTTTTGTTTTGGTTTGCCTTGGCTTTGAGAGAATGTCGAGATCATTTGCATTCATGTAAAGTTCGTTTGAAAGTGCATTCAATAAACTTGCCGTGTGTTTGTAGGACTTGGACTTGCCTCGATCCCGACGTTTGAAGAACTATGTGAGTGGTATTTTTAATAAAGATATGTTATAAAGCTTTGATAAAACCTTGTTTTGACTTGTTCGGAAAATATTTACAAGCATGAATGATTATTCCTAGTTGCAATAAATACTATCTTGTTTTGATGACAATCTTGGAAAGTCCGTATGTGTTAGGGGACTATAAGCATTTGTAGCACAATCTTGGAAAGTCCATACGTGCTAAGGGACTCTAAGCATTTGTAGCACAAGTCCTTAGTGTCCGGGGACTATAATGCAACGACACCATTGTTTTGAGATCTCGCTTGTCTTGTCTTGTCTTGCCTTGCCACTGACGGTTTTACCGCGTGGGTTTGCTTGTCCGGAATGTCATCCCTTGTATTACATCGATGCTAGTAAGCATCCCTTGAAGCTTGAAAGACCCACTAGATGAACTTGGTTCATCCCTTGATTTCATACTAGATATGTTATGTATTGTTTTGCTAAGGATCTTGAATATCAGTCATGCAAACCCCTTTATTACTTATACCATTAACTGAGTATCCAAGCTCACCCTCTCTATATATATGTAGGTGATGAGCAGGACGGCGGTGATGCCTAGATGTGTTTTGGATTCGTGTTTTGCAACATCTTGAAGATCATGCTTCTTAGCTTGCATTTTATTGTATTCTGTATATGATGGCTTGAGAAGCCTTTTGGTCAAAATGTATTTTTGTACTTCATTGTATTTGTATTTAAGTTTCAAAAGCTATGTAAAGATGTATGCTTTTCCATAGACTTATGCACAGCTCTTATGGACTAATTAGATTTACTTATATTGCTCCCGCACTTGTAAGCCCTATATATTATACTCTGATTGGGTGTGAATTTTGAAAGCTGGC